GTTCCCCAAAGTGGCTTCGAGGCACTTGTTAAAAATGCAAATTCTCTCTCTGGCTGTAGCCATTATCTACTGATCCTATAGTCTGGGGGAAGTTTCAGAGCCATTGCTTTATCTGTTATCCTCCCAATCCCTGTAAGGTAGCAGCGGGTGAAAATGAGCATCAAGAGGATGTTGACTTGAGAAGCCATTAGAATACAGACTGCAGGCAGAGGAGTACTCTTACTGGGAATCAAGAGACCACAGTTGACATATTTGTTAGAAATGCAGAACTGTGCAGCTTCAAAGCTTTGTAGGGAGGGAAAGCAGACACAGGGTGAGGCAGCTTCTCTGCTCATACTTTTTTTCCTTACCGGAGTCTCAGGATAACTATCTGGTCATTCATTACAATCAAAAATTTTTTCTTACTTCTTAAAGGTCAAAATCAGCTTAGGTAACTTATTTTGGATAATGACCTAATCAGGGAAACTAATAAAATAAATATTTAGAAAGGGACATTTGAAAATGGGGGAGGGGGGAATCTCTAGGCTGGAAGTAAAGTGGTATTTATGACATCGATAGAGCTCTTAATGGGCCCTCAGGGTGTCCTGAGGTTGGGGGGTGCTGGCAGGACAAAGCTATCAAAACTGACAGATGTTTGGGACCTCAGTGAGGACACAGGAGGCTCCTTGTTGAGGCCATAAAGTCACAGCTCAGTTTGTTTCCAAGCAAAATATAGGACATGCTGGGGTTGGGAGGAACTCTCATTCACAGAATAGAGGTAAAGTCACAAAACACTGTTCAGCAGCATCTATTATGTGTGGATCCCAACTTTCCCAAAAATGTGTTTGAGAGATGTAAAGAGCTCCCATCTGGAGATGGAGTTCATTTATTCTCCATTTGGAGAGATCCACTAGGCAAATGCCTGCAACTGTAGAACTGAGCTGGGCTGAAGCTGGGAGCCAGAGATTCTAGCCAGGTCCCCCACAAGGGGGACAGGGGCCCAACTAATCATCTCCCACGGCTTTATTTGGAGAGATCCACTAGGCAAATGCCTGCAACTGTAGAACTGAGCTGGGCTGAAGCTGGGAGCCAGAGATTCTAGCCAGGTCCCCCACAAGGGGGACAGGGGCCCAACTAATCATCTCCCACGGCTTTCCCAGGTGCATCAGCAGGGAGCTAGATCGGAAGTGGAGCAGCGGGTGGTGGCTTACCCTACTATGCCACAAAACCCACAACACCTGGTCCCATCTTTTTCAACTTAATTTCAGATTCTTGAGATTCTTCAGGATTTTTTTGCCATATATGAAAAGTGCTTTAATATATAAATATCAATATAGTTATAAAATTTATTCCAAGTTTATTTCTAGCACAGTACTTGGTATTGAAAGCAGTTTGCCATCAAGGAAATATAAATGTCAGAGGGATTTGAATCTCCTCCTTGCTTTTACAAAAATGCCAAGTATTCTATTTCCTTCTATGTGTGTTCTATTTGGCATTTATATCGATTATCTTTAAGTGCCAATAAAAATATTGAGAAATATTTTAGGGTCAAATATGTGATCTTTCCCATTCTTTTTTCCTCTAAGATACATTTACTCATTTGAAATCAACTCATCTATTGAGATACAGCAAGAGAATTGAGAGGGAAAATGGTACACAACAAGATCATTCACTTTTGAAATTGTTTTTGAGGATGGAAAATGTTTTTGGCAAGGCTGTGGGACCTGAACCAAGGAAGACCCTCAGGAGTGCTTGGTGAATTCCACTGCTCCAGGCTGTCTGATTTAATGGTGCCAAGGCCAAATTCTCTTTTACTAAAACTGAACTGGGTGTTTCCCAAGGTTGTTAACCAAGTTCTCCCTTGGAAGGAACCTGCTCTCTTTCCCAGTTCTTAAATACCAAGTCCTCTCAGCAATTCACCTCTCCCCCACCCCCACCACTGCCGGCCAAGCCCAAGGCAGGTCTTTCTGTTCCCAGAAATAATGCGAGGGTCTGAGGGTCTTGAAATCTTTCACGTAGACCAGGAACCTCGGTTAAGGCTGGATGTCAAGAGCTGGGGTTTGGGAAATGATCCTTAAGCACCGCCAGCCAGGAAATTTGGCAGTGACTGAGGTGCCCATTGCCAAGACCTCTCCTGGTTGATCAGTTCCATGCAATTGCTTATTCAGGGTGTGGCAGGATTTGCAAGGGAAAGGAAGCAATGGGTCTTGAATAACAAATACTCCTTAAAAGTGGGGTTCTCTGTGAATTTTATTAATTACAGAAATGCTGAGAGGCAGGATAGGGGAAATTCTCTCCACGAAACCTAGCCCCACAACCCAAATGTCAAGTCATCCAGGAGTTTATAGGTCCGGGCGTAGCAGGCTCGTGGTTAGAACGGTTCATTTATTCAATACCTTGGGTAACGCCTGCCCCTTAGCTTTCTAGTAATGCACTGCACAGTGCACGACTGTGAGTCAATATTTAGAAAGAAATAGAACCAGGGGGCCGGTACCACGGCTCACTTTGTTAATCCTCCGCCTGCGGTGCCGGCATCCTATATGGGTGCCAGGTTCTAGTCCTGGTTGCTCCTCTTCCAGGCCAGCTCTCTGCTGTGGCCCGGGAGGGCAGTGGAGGATGGCCCAAATGCTTGGGCCCCTACACCCGCATGGGAGACCAGGAGGAAGCACCTGCCTCCTGGCTTCGGTCGACCATAGTGGCCATTTTGGGGGGTGAACCAATGGAAACTCTGCCTATCAAATACAAAAAAAGAAAGAAATAGAATCAGCCATTCATTTCCAAGATGTCATGTTCTAACTCCCAAAGAGAAGGGGTCGCTATCAAGCACAAGTCTGAATGTCTCAAACGTCCCTACAGTTAAGAATCACCTGCAATACCCTTGAAAGCACACGTCCTGGAGATGGCACTCTGAATCTCGGAGTCCCAGTCCTGGGGGAGCTGAGCCTCAGAGAAACTCACATTTTAATGAGGACCTGGACACTTATTACGATTGGAAGCTTGGGAGACACTAATCCTCGCTAAAAGGCAATATTGTGTCCCATTGTTGCAATGAGAACTCTTAATGGCAAATGCTGGGGGTCCAGGGTGGGGGAAGGGACGTGTCAAATCTAAAGCTTGCTTTTTTATGTTTTTCAAGGTTTTCAGGGTGCTGGCCTTGTGGTGCAACAGGTCAAGCTGCCTTGTGTGACACCGGTATCCTATATCGGAGTTCCGGCTGCTCCTCTTCTGGTCCAGCTCCTCACTAATGCACCCGGGAAAGCACTAGAAGATGGCCCAAGTGCTTGGGTTCCTGCACCCACGTGACAGACCTGGATGGAGTTCTGGGTTCCTGGCTTTAGCATGGTCCTGGTCTATCTGGCCATTTGGGAAATGAACCAGAAGGTGAAGAATCTTCTGTCTTTCTCTGTCACTCTGCCTTTCAAATACAATAAGTAGTTTTAACTGAACATTACTTATACATATTCAGTTTCTTTTTAAAAAAAAAAAAAAAAAGAATTATTTATTTATTTCAAAGGCAAAGTTACCAAAAGAGAAGGAGAGACAGAGAGACTGATCTTCTGTCTGCTGGTTCACTCCCCAAATGGCCAGGAGCCAGGAGTTTCTTCCTGGTCTCCCATGTAGGTACAGGGGCCCAACCACTTGGGCCATCCTCTGCTACCTTTCCAGGAGCATTAGCAGGGAGATGAATGGGAAGTGGGGCAGCTAGGGCTTGAACCCTTGCCCGGATGGGATGCCAGCGCAGCAGGTGATGACCCAACCCACCACGCCACAATGCCAGCCCCTCAAATATATCTTTAAAAAAAGACAAAAGTTTTTGGGGTCTTGGTGGCTCTTAAAATGGTCTTGAGGAACAGTGGTTTTTCTACTTACTACTTGTTGTATTTTTCATTTAGTGGAGGGTTAAACTTGTGAGTGTAAAGAATATTGAAAGTATGCCATTGTAAAAATGAAAAAACAAATAAGAAAACTAAGAGGAGAGATGGGAAGTATATCACTTTGCTCTTAAAACTGTATATAGGAAATACAAGAAATGTTTTCCCTTTATAACTCTTAGAATAATGACAAAATAGTAAATTTAAGGTTGAAAAAAAAAATGAGAGCGTACAAGAGCCAAAAGGAGGAAGCAACCAAATGGGCACTGATGAACAAATAAACAACATATATGTGTATATATATGCTCATACATAGCGCGGCTTATTCAGCCTTGAACAGGAAGGAAAAGTGTGACACAAGAACTTGGAAGAACCTGTGCTAAGTGAGGTTAGCCAGTCATTGAAGGAAAAGCACTGTGTGAGTCCAGCCAGGGCAGTCCAATTCCTAGGAAGCAGAACTGTGGGGGCAGGGCTTGGGGGGGTGGGGATTCTGTTCTGTGAGGACAGAATTCCAACTATTCTGGAGATGGGCGGTGGGACAGCTACTCAACAGTGTGAATGCGCTGATGCTGCTGAACCACTGGCTTAAAAAATGCTTTGGATGGTAAGTTCTACTAGGTGTGTTTATCACGATTCTTAACAATTAATTTTAAATAATTTTCAGTGGGAGCCACCACAGATGCTACCTCGGGAATCGGGAGGCTCTAAAGCTACCACCCACACGGGTGGGTCTGTGCGGCTCCTCCCTACCATTCCCCTTCCCTTTGCTCCTAATCTGGTCCTGTCGAACCTCGAACCCCAGCACTAACTCCCGAGAGAAGCTTCACTTTTCAAAGTGTTTACCCCTAGCCTCCCTCTAAGTGGCTACCTGTCAGTTTCCATTTCAGCCCTACCTCTCTGCTCACAGGCCCGCCGACCACCAACTGATGCACTACCTGTATTGATTCCCTAAGAGCTGGCAGGGTGGAGGGAAAGATGGGTTTGAGGCCGCCCCAAGCTCTTAGCTGCCTTCAGTCGTAAATGTCCCCATTAAAGGATTCATTCAATAGCAGTCCTTGCTGAAGTAAGTGGACGTCAGTCTCCCTCCCCCACAATGAATACAGAGGCCATTATCAATGGGCAGAGAGCACTGAACTGCAGCAGTATCAGTTTCCACATTTTCTAATGATTCCTTTAATGAAGAGCTGCGTTCTTTTCGGGCCGTAAAACAACAAGGCAAAGCCTATTCATTTAGCCATTGTACATATTAGCTTATTTATTTATGGCTAATGCTGCCATCAGCATTCCCCGAGTGTAGAGTTAACTCACTTAATGATTGGTTGATAAATTGCTAAAAAGAAGATAGACTGCCGTGGGCTCCATGCAATCTGTCAGCAAGCAGGGTGATTTAAGTTTCTTTAGTCATTTTAAGTGCAAATACACTGGCTTTGCACTCTATTTAAATTCAGCCATCGCGTGTATATTTTAGTATTTTATATTTGCATGCATATTTGATCCTAAATGCACAAAGATTTATCTTCAACCACATTCTTTGGAAATAAGCATGTTATCATTTTACCAAAAGAGAGCGACAACATCCACTAGTGATTTAAAGTAGATCTGCACCACCGTGTTCTGGGCTCTGGCATGACAAGGGCCACCTTCTTTGTTCATTAAACAGTCGGTGTCTGCACAGCAGGAACTCCACACTGTGGACAGAATCAGTCTCCTTGGGGACAAAAGTAGTGCCTCCATGCCACCAGTCTCTGACCGATCTAGGCCTGGTTCTGGAAACCTTGGTGTCCTCTGAAGGTTGGGGTTTAGAACTTGATCCACTATTTCTGTTTGTGCCACTGTAAAGATTATGTTTAAACGTTCAGTTGTATTTAGTTGTTGTTGACGAATGCTGAAACAACAGAAAATGAGAGTAATAAAAATGTTGACGGTATTCTTTGCCTATATTACCCCCCACCCTTTTTTTTTTTTTTTTGTTAGTTGGGACATGAATCCAAACAGACAGAAGGGCAACTGCCTGGGATCCCACTGTGAAATCACTGATCTTGTCATGAGGGTGTGTGAGTTGAGAAACAGGCAGCATGGCTTCCATTGCCCACGCGAGCCTTCGTCCCCTGGCTATGCCAGTTTCCACTGCTTTCCCTGCACCACACACGGTTCCTCCTGATGTCCTCACCTTCCGGATCCTCTCGTACCTTCACAAGCATCCTGTGATGTCCAGTTTGTAAATGCTGGTGTCCTGGCTTCTTGTCGCTGCCCCTGCACAGTCTCTGGCCCTGGCTTCAATTCCCATCTGACTCCCCCACTTGCAGTCTCTACCTGGGTGTTTCAGAGGTATCTGATTTTGACATGTTCATAACTAAACTCAAGAGCTTGCCTGGAGCCGCCTTGTGGCATAACAAGTAAAGCTGCCTCTGCAGTGCTGACATCCCATGGGGCGCCTGTTTCTGTCTTGGCTGCTCCAGCTCTCTGCTATGGCCCGCGAAAGCAATGGAAGACAGCCCAAGTCCTTGGGCCTCTGTACCCTTTTGCAGGACCTGGAGGAAGCTCCTGGCTCCTGGCTTCGTGTTGGCCCAGCTCTGGCCATTGCAGTCATTTGGGGAGTGAACCAGTGGATGGAAAACTTTGTCTCTCTTTCTCTCTCTCTCTTCCCCCCTCTGTGATTCTGCCTTTCAAATAAAACAAATAAATCTAAAATAAATAAAAAGAGCCTCCTACAAGCTTCATTCACCTCTCTACCCCACTGAGGACCCTACCCCAGGAATGGCACTGGCCATCTATCTACTGCCCTAGGAAGCTGGTTGTCACGCCTCCCATCCAGTCCACCTTCGGCCTCCATGGCTTCCACCTGGGCTAAGTACAACTGCCCTCTGCCACTGCCCTCTCCTGTTCCTGTCCCTCTCCACATATTTCTCTTCCTGGCCAGAGGCATCTTTGCAAAGCACAACCTATCATCACAAGGCCATTAGTAGGCTCACTTTCATGATTCAAATTCTTTAACACTTAGTTACAAGGCCTTGGCCTCTTCCTCTAACTTTGCTCTGAGATAGGCTTCCTTTAGAATACAGTGCTGTGGCCACAGAAATTTCCTTACAGTTTCTTTGACAAGCCAAAACACCTTCTGCCCCAGGGCCTTCACGTAAACCTTTTCTGCCTTCCATACTCCCCTCCCTTCTGTTATCCAGCTTTCAACTAGGACTGCTTGGATTAAGATGTAGGCTCCGGGTCGGCGCTGTGGTGCAGTGGGTTAAAGCCCTGGCCTGAAGCACCAGCATCCCACATGGGTGCCGGTTCTAGTCCTGGTTGCTCCACTTCCGATCCAGCTCTCTGCTATGGCCTGGCTGGCTCCTGGCTTCAGATCAGCACATCTCCAGCAGTTGCGGCCACCTAGGGAGTGAACCAACGGATGGAAGACCTCTCTGTCTCTACCTCTCTGTGTAACTCTGTCTTTCAAATAAATAAAATAAATCCTTAAAAAAAAAAAAAAAAAAAAAAAAAGATGTAGCCTCTACCATTTAAACCACTGTGTGAACTTTACCCTTTACCCTCTGTAGGCATCAGTTGCCCTATCTGTAAAATGGGGTCAATAACAGTCCTTATCTGATTGGGCTCCAATAAGGATTAAGCAAGATCATATATAATCTTATTTTTAATGCAGTATCTGTCATTGAGCCTATTCTCAATAAGTGCTAGCTATTAATATCATCTTCTGTGTCCCCAACAACCATCCTGGCCTCTGTATACTAAGTGGTTCAATAAATAGTTGTCGAATGAATGAGTATATGAAAGATGAGATCTGGCCTTCCTCTTATTGTCATTACTGCATCCCTAAGTTAAGACTGACAGCAGCCACCCAGGGGATGTAACAGCCTAAAGAAAGAATGACAGGGACACAAAGCCAAAGAAAACTGAGAAAGCATGGCAGGTGCAAAGACAAGACTGGGAAAGACCACACAAGGGTGAGTTTATGCGCCCTGCTAGCAGATTATAGATCTTCCCGTTTCTCCGCTCAACAGGCAAGGAAAGATGACATTCCCGCAGTTCTATCACAGTGGGACCCACGGGAGTGGTGGTGAGGGGGGCCAGGGTGGAATGAGAAGCAAGCTGGGAACACGTTCATTCAGTCAACAAACCCTTGTGCTGGGTGTACGGGAAACGCCAACTACAGTGGGTTGATGGTACAGAGAAGGAAGGTGCTGTGTCCTGAGTAGACCTGTCACTTCCACTTCCACACAGCAAATTCTCACCCTCACCACCAAGGAAATGAAGTGGGCACGCTCACTCTGCTGGATCTGTAGACTGGCACCACATTCTAGGGAAGCCATCAAGCACCGTGCCCCAAACAGATCTACAGTCTTTAACCCGGTAATTCCAGTTTAAGGAATCGTGGCTAAAGAGAATCGGAAAGGCAAAGATTTATGAACAAAGATGTTCTTAGCACAGTGAAAATGGAGGGCTTAAATGTTTAGCCACAGGACTTGTGACACATGGACACAGTGGAGGACGGGATGGAGAAGGCGCTCTTAAAACGGAGGTTTTTCAAAGAATTGAACACAGGTCTTTCCACAAACGTTTTTGAGACTATCCTGCATGACACTTGTGGAAGCTCAATAACGAGACTATGCCAAAAAACATCCAGACTCTCTCCATAGCAGGTCTACGTCCATAAGGAGCCCTCACAGTTTTCATTCAAGACAGTCACCCGTGTGGGAGAGCTGGAGGAAGCTCCTGGCTCCAGCTCAGCGCAGCTCCGCCATTGCGGTCATTTGGGGAGTGAACTAGTGGATGGAAGACCTCTCTCTGCCTCTCTCTAACTCTGCCTTTCAAATAAGTAAATAAATAAATAAATAAATAAATAAATCTTAAAAAAAATAGATAGTAACTACAGGTCGCCAGGCATTAGGAGCCAGGCAGAAGGGCTTAGACGAGAAAACCTCCAAACAAACTTCCCCAGCCCTTATTTGAATACTTTCAGGTCTGTCTCTATGCGCTGAAGTTATCAGGAGGACTGGTATCAAGCCTGGCTGGTCACGCACTGGGCTTGGGTCTCTTGTTTGTAAAACGAAGAATCGGGTTATATCATCATTGCTGAGTCTTTCACGAACAAAATACGCAAGGTAAGCGCGGATCTGTTTTTTTTTCGCTATTATGTTGTATCTAGTTTCGACCCCCGACCCCAGCTTGGAGAGGCAGAATGGGGCGCAAAGCTGATAAGCACTTGAACTGGAAAGTGGCGTTTTTTTCTCCTAATTGGCGGTTGGCGGCCTCCACCTGCGTGAGAGAATGGCGGGATGAGACATCCTGTTTCTTGGGGGCTTGGGGGTGGGGAGGAGGACGTGGCTGAGTCTGAGGGATCCGTTCGCAGCTCCCAGCCCCCTCCCCGGCGGCCGGACACTTGGCCCGCATGCCCTCCCCGGCAAGCTTGCCCAGCCCTGGGTTCTGCCTCCCGCTAGTTTTCTGGCCTCGAGTGGGAATCCACCAGGTCTGTGCGCTAAGACCCACGAGCGTCCCTCCCTAATGGCTAGGTGCCTTGGAGCCGAGGGGCACAGTCCCCGCCCACGCACACTGACAGCCACTGGGGGAGGGGACGCGAAAGGTCACCGCGGCAGACGCCCCTGAGGGGCCCAGGGGCTGTTGTAAGCCTTTCAGGCCTAATCGGAACTCTAAATCGGAGGCTTTAAATTGGGCTTGTAGTTTCCGATCGATTCTCTCGAAGTTAACACATTTTGGGGGAAAAAAATCGCCTTCAGCCGGAAGAGGGGCCAGGGAGCGAGAAGGGGTGTGGACGTTTGGTCCTAATCCCTCTTCCCCAACCCGCTTTGGGATCGCGGCGTAACCTACGTCCCCCACGTCCTAGGCCCAGACTCCGCCGGCCTCCACCCAGCCCCCGCCCCCGGGCCCCGAGCCGGGCCACGTTCCTGGGGCTCTCGCGGTCCCCGCCCGAGGTGCAGGTGCGCGCCCTGTCTGAAGCCCTCGGGGCTGGGGGCTCTGGAATCCACCAACCTCCAGGGAAGAAAGAGGGCGGGCCGATTTGGAGAGGTGCAGATTCAAGAAATGTAAAATAGCCACCTCCCCCCACTCCATCCATACCAAAATAACGTTGAGGAAAATTTATACTCAGCAGCTAGCCATGTCGGAGAAAACAATTTTCCGTTCTCTGTCCATCCAGTTTAAATCTACATGTTTGCTTTCCGACAATCAGAAACTTTTGTAAGCGACTCTGCTTCCTACACAGCGGATTGTTTTGTTTTGTTTGCCGAGCCATGCTATTCTCCCGAAAAATGTGCGCATTAAATTCCACCGAAAGGATTATTACGGTTGAGAATCAACCCGTCCACACTGTTGTCATTTTGGTAGCTTCCAATGTCTCACCGTTATAAGTTGCTGTGCTAAACGTCGGTGTAGATAGATGTATGCTTACATCCAGGATTGTTTTTCGTTGATATCTGTTTCTAGAGGCGAAATAAGGGGCCCAAACTTGGGTCCGGAGTGGAACCGTTGGGGGCCAGGGGCGCGGTGTAACAGCGACCGCGCGGCGCACAGACACCTGCCGGGGCTGTTTCTGTCGTTCCTTTTCTGATTTACCTGATTCCCTCACCCCCCTATCCTCACCCCATAATAATCATTCAGAGTTTTCCTGGATAAAGCAGGGCGCCGATCGCACCCGGAAAAAAAAAAAAAAAAACCCGCGCCAGGGTTTCTTCGGTAGGAAAGACAGGATCGGGGCGGAGAGACCCGGCGTCTACGCCTTCCCCTGGCTCCATCCTCCACTCCACGGACCTGACTCCGGCTACAGAGGGGCTGGAGCGGGGCCAGCAGACCCCGCGTCTCCCAGGGCCGCGCTCCGCAGGAAACCCGCCGGCTCTGCAGCCGCCCTAGCCCCGTCGCTGAGCCGCTCCGCCTCTGACTTTCGGGAGTGGCCAGCAGCAGCTGGAGACCGGAGCCCACCTCGGGGTCTATACCTGCACACTGAAGTGAGGCGACCGGGGTTTTTGGGTGGTACTGGTTGTTTTTATTTTTAGTTTTAATTTGCCTTTATTTTATTTAAAAGCTAGAGAGATAGACGGAGAGAGATCTTTCATCTGCTGGTGGACTCTGCATCGTACCTGCCACAGCCAGGGCTGCGCAGGACGGAAGCCAGGAGCCCAGAATTCCATCTGGGTGTGGGCTTTTTTTTTTTTTTTTTTAATTTAAGCTGTTTATTTCAGAGAGAGAGACAAGCGGACGCGCCTGTCTGCTAGTTCACTCCCCAAATGCCTGGAATTCGATCTTGGTGTCCCACGTGGGTGGCAGGTACCTGAGCCGTCACCTGCTGCCGCCAGGGGTGCGCATAAGCAGGAAGCTGGATTGGAAAGGGGTGGGACAGGAACCCAGGCAACAGGATAGAGGATTCCTCCGTCGTGCAAACCTGCTGCTTGATTGCCCGGCTAACCTCCGGGCCCCTGGGCAGCGTTTCTGGTTTTGTTTTATTATGGTTTTTTGCCTAACTGTTCCTGGGTGTTAGAGAGAGGTAATTCAGGTGGTTTCCCCCACCCTTGCCCTTCTGTTTTGCTTGCTTTTCAGGTAGGGAAGAAATGGAGACTCAAGTGCCAGTTTGGGTCCGACCACCCGGCAGGCGTCTCCTGATGCCTTCTCACCTTTTACTTTCCTAGCTCTCAGGTGGGAAGCTGTCCTTCCCTGCTGTGTGAACTTGAATGCAAGACACTCTCACTCTTAGACTTCTTACACTGGTTCCCTGATGCACCAAGCGACTTCAAAAAGTTCGTGGAAAATGGAACGAAAAGATAGGTTTATTTTGCTGCAAAAATCCTGGAATCCAAACATAGTTTTTCTGTAACGTGCATTTTCCACAAACTCCTTAAAGACTTCATAGATGCATGGTTTGGAGTGGTGTGGATTGGTTCCAGGACTCCTTATGGATACCCAAATCCATGATTCTCAAGTCCCCTATATAAAATGGGATAATAGTTGCATGTAGCCTATGCAATCCTCCCATAAATATGCTTTGTCATCTCTAGATGTACCTCATACCTAATCTAATGTAATTGTATGGAATTTTTATGCTGTTTTTTTTTTTTTGGACAGGCAGAGTGGACAGTGAGAGACAGAGATTTTTTTTTTTTTTTGGACAGGCAGAGTGGACAGTGAGAGAGACAGAGAGAAAGGTCTTCCTTTGCCATTGGTTCACCCTCCAATGGCCGCTGCAGCCAGCGCACTGCGGCCGGCGCACCGCGCTGATCCGATGGCAGGAGCCAGGTACTTCTCTTGGTCTCCCATGGGGTGCAGGGCCCAAGCACCTGGGCCATCCTCCACTGCACTCCCTGGCCACAGCAGAGAGCTGGCCTGGAAGAGGGGCAACCGGGACAGAATCCGACACCCCGACCAGGACTAGAACCTGGTGTGCCGGCGCTGCAAGGCGGAGGATTAGCCTAGTGAGCCGCGGCGCCGGCCTTATGCTGTATTGTTTAGGGGAAAACGACAACAAATAAAGTCCACACGCATGTTCCATACAGATTTAATTTATTTCTGCAAATATTTTCCATCTCTGGTTGAATTAGTGATGGCACTCAGGCTGTCTTCTACTGCTTTCACTTGGGCCATCTTCTGCTGCTTTTCCAGGTACACTAGCAGGGAGCTGGATCAGAAGCAGGGTAGCCTGGACTCCAACCAGCACTCATATGGGCTGCTGGCACTGAAGTCAGTGGCTTAACCCAATGCACCACAACACCAGATCCTATTCTGTTGATTTTTGAGTGATAAGTTGCATATCCCACCATGTTTGGGATTTGTCAATAGCTCTTTGACCTATCATGTATTGCTTTATATATTCTGAATTTATATTATTGAACAGACAAAGTTTCCCAGCTACTATATATCCTTGGTGGATCATTTTTTTTTAAAAGATTTACTTATTTATTTGAAAGTCAGATTTACACAGAGAGAGAAGGAGATGCAGAGAGAGAGAGAGAGAGTGGTCTTTCATCCGCTGGTTCACTCCCCAATTGGCCGCAACAGTCGGAGCTGCGCTGATCAGAAGCCAGGACCCAGATGCTTCTTCCTGGTCTCCCATGCAGGTGCAGGGGCCCAAGGACTTGGGCCATCCTCCACTGCTATCCCAGGCTATAGCAGAGAGCTGGATTGCAAGTGGAGCAGTTGGGACTTGAACCAGTGCCCATATGGGATGCTGGCACTGCAGGTGGCAGCTTTACCCACTATACCACAGTGCTGGCCTGGCATCATAACTTTTATGAATATAAAATATCTCTCTTGTCCCCTTTAAAATTTTAAACTTAATCATCTAGCAATATTATTGCTATACCTGCTTTTTTTTTTTCTTTCTTTCTTAAAATGTTTATTTGAGAGAGAGAGGGAGAAAGAACCAGACAGAGAGATCTCACATTTGCTGGATCATTCCCCAAAGGCTCACAATGGCTGGGGCTGAAATAGGCTCAAGCTGGGAGACAACTGCTCAATCCAGGTCTCCCACGTGGCTGGGAGGGACCCAAGTACTTGAGCCATCATAAGCACCTCCCAGGGTGTGCATTCAGGAAGCTGGAGTTGGGAGAGGAGCTAGGACTCCTCTCCTGTGCTGAAGGGCCCCCTCCCCTGCTTTCTGTTTTACCATCATCTATCTGGTAGAGCTTTTAAAAATCCTTGCTCCTTTTGTTTCAATTTCATAAAGAGAAAATAACGATTTTGATCATCTTTTTTACCATTTCTATGAGCATTGTTCTAATTGTGCTACTAGATATGTCGATACCCTTTTATGGTGTTCTATTTTACAATTTGCACATCAAGCGAAGTGTAGATAATCATAATTTGGTTGATTAGTAGCTTGTCTAAAACCAGGGTAAAACAATTTGATTTGTGTCTGTTAGTTCAAGCCACTAACAGAGAAAATTCACCTACTTCCTTCCAATACAGTCAGATGGGTGTTCATTTCTATTGTATTATTACAGGGGATGATAACCTATTTCTGTTAGTCTAATTTTCATACTCAGGAAATATCGCTTTAATCACTTGCTATTTTGCTGCAAGAGGACTTGGCATTCTGGTCTTGCTACATGTTCTTGAAAAACTTCCTGTGATTTATCCCGCAGTGTTTTTGGCACATTCCTTCAAATTCTAAATTGTATTCTCCTTTCTTATTTGGTTCCCCTTCATTCTGAATAGTTCCCTTTTTCCTTTTGAACAATCACAAACTCCACACAGAAATACAGTCATTCTTCAGTCACACTGAACAATTTAGTTCACCGGACAAAAATATTAACAAAGAATTTCAAACAGAGTTGGTGACCTACAATTTGAAGACGTGTGGTGCAGATTTTCCTTAAATCTTTCTTTGTGGCTTAGGGTATGCATTCTGAGAGAACCGGTGATAGTGACCAATTTGGGGTCAATTGTCTGGCCCATGTGCCTAGTTATGCTTCCCTGCAGTTCCCTGCCTTTGAGTGAAAATTGGGTACTGATTGAACATTTGCTCTAATTCATGCAAAGGCTTCTTACTAGGAATTGATTTGTTGATTTTTAAAATGCCTCTTAGAATTAGAATCCTCACTAAATTTCATATTGGAAAAAGAAGCGATATATATGATGGACGTCACCAGCCATGTCTATGTGCTGCATATGGACAATTTTTTTGTAGTCATTATATTGAACATGCCTCATTTTAAGTATGACCTTGAGTTGTCATTGCTTGAGAAAACGTGGACTGGTTAGGACATCCATTAATGTCCTAGAACAAATGCAGTAGCAGAATCCCCAAGGGACACAGGGATTTTACTGGTCTCTGGACACAGGAATCCATTTGTTGGAGCATATGCTGAGTGTGATGAGCTGGAAAATGAAGCTGATTTCTGTGCCAGACCAAACTAGGTGAAAGACCGACCAACTGGACAAGGTGATGATCGCATATCCTTCCAAAGGAAAAAATAACTTCAATTTTCCAAAAATACTTTCACACATTTTTTTTGTTTTATTTGACAAGGCCCTGAGAGAATAAAGAGAAAGAAATTTTTAAGTAAGAGCTCCAAATCGGTGCCCAGGAAGCTCAAATTGTGAAATCTTTCATTTGAGGCTGTCACTCATGCAGAGCAGTAGATGAAGAGAATACCTTATTGCTAAAAGCATCCTCTAAGTAAAAAAGCTACTCCAAGTGTAATTTTTTTTTCATGATATGCATTGTCCATGACCTTCTTGAAAATATCTCACATGCATAAATGTCAACATTTTTTGCACCAAAATAAATTTATCTTTTAATTCCATTATCTATGAACTGTTTGAAATACCCTTATATTTTATGACAAATGCTTAGGACAATATCTCATACAAATAGAGCAGGATGTTTTTCTTGGATAGTATGATTGATATTGTTGAAGTACTTTCTGACAATAGGTTATACTTTATTATTTTTTTTAAAGATTTATTTATTTATTTGAAAGAGTTACACACAGAGAGAAGGAGAGGCAGAGAGAGAGAGGTCTTCCATTTGCTGGTTCCCTCTCCAAATAGCCACAACAGCCCTAGCTGCGCCAATCTGAAGCCAGGAGCCAGGAGCTTCTTCTGGGTCTCCTATGCTGGTGCAGG